AAATTTTATTTATTTTTCCCATAATTTTATTGACAGACAAATAGCAATGAGACAGTTTCAAATCAATTGGTAGGACAATTTCAATAATTAGCACATTTCATACTGTCTTCCTAGTGGTTATTTTCTGTATAAAACTAAATCTTTTGGAGTGTCAGTATTGTTCTAAAAAATCTCAATGCCACATCTATCAATTCTCCATAAATCTTTTAGATTCTGACCATTAGAATGATAAAGTCCTACTGTGAAGGCTTTTAGTTCAGTCAGTGAGGTATCATGATAAATACATTTTTGAGTGCTACTACTTGTGGTAGCTGATACACTGTGTCAACTTGAGGGGTGGGACGCTTAGCTGGATTGGCTCAGAGGCCCGCCCCAGAGTGACTCAGCACTTAAAGGATTTGAGGAAAGCAGGGCCACTTCCTTGGAGGAGCTTGATCTGTGTAGCCCAACTTTGGAGAAGCTTGGATCTTCGCAGTCAGCATGGAAGGAAAAGAGAGCCTTGATAGATGCTGCACCTGCGGCACTTCTTCTGCTTGTCATCGTTTTCTGCCGCCATGAACTGCTGCCATATGCCTTGGAGGCAGCAGAGTATGGAATGATACCGCCACTCACTGAGCTAAATAAACCTTTCTTTCCATCATGTGGAGTGTCAGGTATTTGTCCCAAAAATGGAGAGAAAAGTAACTGAGACATTACTGATGCATATAAAATGTTTTACTTGGATTTTTTTTTAATTTTAACATTGTGTGTGTGTGTGTGTGTGTGTGTGTGTGTGTGGCCAGCTCAGCCCACCAGGGGGCGCAGCTGGCTGGCATGTGGTGCTGGGGGATCGAACCGTGGTCCCTGTGCTCCGCCAAGCCCGTTCCATTTACTTGGATTTTATTAGTGTACTTCAAAACATTTTGTAGCATATCGTTCCTTACAATTCCTAACACTGAACTGTAATGTTGGCATTCCCATAGGTTTCATTCCCATCAAGAACCTAATAACATTTTCCAACCTAGTTCTAATGCTGGACATTTTGTGCCATTTTGACTGGTCAGATATTTATTTCCATTATCGTTTTCCTCCTCATCCAACTCAGGGTCCTTATTCTGGACTCCTCTCTGTCTCTGACTCTGTCTTTCTTTTTGTGGTACTGGGGATTGAACTCAGGACCTTGTGCTTGCCAGGCAAGTGCTTATTCTACTGAGCTATCTCCCTGGACCCTGGATTTCTCTATCTGTCATATATTGCTCCTTTTTGGCTTACATGATCCAGATCAACACAGGTAGTGGAGTCTCCTGATGACTTTCAACCTCCCAAAGTTGTGAAAGCAAAATTTCATGTGATATGGTACTGAGTTGGGCTAATAATACATTAAAAAAAAAAAACAGAAGAAAACATTTAATAAAACAAATTACAGGGCTGGGTGGAGACAGCTCGGCTGTCTAAGTGCCCGTCTGGGAAGTGCTTGGACCCGGGTTCGATCCCTGGTACCACATGCTATACTGGCCCTGGGCGCTGAGCCAGCCACTGAAACCAGGTGTGGTGGTGCACACCTGTAATTCCAGAGCTGAGGAGGCTGACACAGGAGGATCACTATGAGTCCGAGCTGCATAGTGAGACCCTGTACCAAAGGAAAAAGAAAATATAAATTATAGGGCCAGCAAGATAGCTCAGAGGACTAAGCACCTGCTTAGGCAAGCGCAGGACCTGGGGTTTGATCCCTGGCATCATATGCTGTGCCAGCCCCACCCCTGGGCACACTGAGCTGGCCACCAAGACGGGGTGTAGTGGTGCATGCCTGTAATCCCAGTGCTGGGGAAGCTGAAAATAGGATTACTACGAGTTGAAGCTGCATAGTGAGACCCTGTACCAAATACATAAAAAATAAGAAATTAATAAATAAAACAAATTACAGCACTGGGGATGTGGCTCAGTGGTACAGGGCCCTTGGTTTGATCACCAGCACCATGCACACATACACAGACACACATACATACACTATATATATATACACACACAAACAGTACAGTGCGTAACATGGGTGAAACTCGCTCACTCACACTCCGATGCATGTGCATACACCCTGGTGTTCATCACACCATGTGGGTGAACACAAAGATTGCTGCCTGTATTCTCCCAGCCCAGCTGCTAGGCTATCTTTATGCTAAAGTAGATATTCTCATTAAAATAGTGTGATTGGGGCAACCCACCATGATACTCTTTTTAAAAAAATGTTATTCTAGTTGTGCGTGGTGTTGTACCGCTGGTTGCAGCTACCCAGGAGGCTGGAGTGGGAGGATCACTTAGGCCCAGGAATCTGAGACCAGCCAAGGCAACATAGCATGATCCCATCTCAGAAAAGATTTATTCATTTAATGGAGGTACTGGGGATGGAACTCAGGACCTTGTGCTTGGCAGGAAAACACTTATGCTGCTGAGCTATATCGCCAGTGCAGAAAAGATTGAAAATTTTTTTTAAAAAAAGTGTTATTCTGAGAAAGGATCTATAAGCCTCACCAGGCTGCCTAAGTGTGAAATAGAAACATCTAAAACCCCCAAGTGTAAACGTTTTAGAGCCATTCACTCACATACTCTACTTCCTCAGAAGTCGGGTCTTTCTGTCCCTTACAGATTTGGGCCAGAGGCAGAGGGTGGGGTCTGACCCTGGGTTGCACTGCTAACAAGAGCTGTCATGGATCTGACCCCCTGACCCCTGCCTGGGGTCAACAGTACTTTGCGCTTATCACTCACCTTGTGACCCCTTTTGGGGGAGCCCCAGGTCAAAGGCCCCCCCTTGGAATCTGAGGCTGGTTTGGGGCAGGATCTCAGGCCAGCTCTCAAGTCCTGGAGTCACACCCCGTGGCGCTGCCGGCCTGGCCAGGCTGCCCAGCTGCCGAAGCCTTATTAAGATGCCGAAGGGCGGGGCAGGAGGTGGACCTGTGGTGGGCCAATGGCTGTGGCACTGCCTCACCTGGGCGACTACCGGGCCCAGGTATGTGGCGGCCCCGCCCCAGCCCTGCCCCGCCCCGGACCCGGGCTCTGGGAGCGGAAATTCCTGCACTGGCAGGACGCTGCTGGCGGAGCTCGGCATGGATCCGGTGGAGACCTGGACCCCCGGGAAGGTGGCAGCCTGGCTGAGAGGTAGGTGGGGTGGGGGTAGAGGTGTAGCGTAGGGAGCCTGTGTGCTGTCCCGAGGCCGAAGATCGGGAGAGGAAAACCAAAGTCTGGGGAGTCTGTCAGTCAGTCAACGAGTATTTACAGGGCGTCTGCCGCGTACCCGTACTGGCCTGGGAAGATAGACGCGATGACCCTGGAGAGCCCGGGAAGCCAGAAGGGAGGACCTGGGTTCCCCCATCGCCCCACATCCTAGAGGCCACAGGGTGACGAGGAAGAGGCAGGCCAATGAAAACAGAAGGGTGTCCTTCCCATGCCTCCTTTATCTACTTCATCTTCCCGATGCCCCAGGACCCAGAGGCTTGTTAAGCCTATTTTTCAGAACAGAAACTATGCTGAGCCTGGAAGTGATTTGCTCAGTCTTGGAACAGGGCCGGCTCTGGTGTCATTTTCCCCTCTCCCGAGTCTGAGCTCCCAGTGAGAGAAGCAGAAGCCCCTGCCAGACTGAAGGGGGTGACACCGCCCCACGGAGAGGCGCTCCTACCTGCTTCTACTTAAGGCCTGTGAGCTGTGGGCGAAAACAGCCGGGAGACAAAAACTGCAGATACTCTAGCTTTGTGACCACAGGCCTCAGTTTCTGTGAAGCTGCCAAAATGAGACAGTCACGATGTGCCAAGGATGTGTAGGACAGTGTTGGGGTCTACTGGGACAGAGACAGCCATACATTGCGCTTAGGAAGCCCAGAGCCAGGGAGCAACAGGGTCATGAATTCCCAGTCCTGTGCTCTGAAGTGCCACAGGGAGTGAGACAGAGCTGTGATCACACACACCCACATACACCCACACACACAGGCCCCAACAATAAAGCCTGCTTCAGAAGGGGAAGAATTCCTTCCGAGAGCTCACAAGCTACCAAATCTTCATTCACATCTGTTTTCTCATTTGCTTCATGGTGATTAGAGTAGTCACCATCTACTAGAAATGCAGCAGAGGTCACCCGTGATCAACATGTAAAAAGCCCTTAAAATCCAGCCCATGCCAAGCACTGTATTGCACGCCTGTAATAGCACTCAGTATAGCACTCTGAATAGCTGAGACAGGGGATCACAAATTTGAGCCCAGCCTGGGCAGTTAAACACCTTGATGAGACCCTATTTAAAAAAAAAATTAAGTTTTATTATTTATTTTTTGTATTTTAGGGAAGGGTCTACAGGGTGTTCAGGGTCTCACTACTACATCGGACTCATAGTGACCTGCCTGTTTACAGCTTCCCAAGAGCTGGGATTACAGGTGTGCACCACCACACCCAGTCTCAATTGCTGTCTCGACGCACCCTGGGGGCAGGCCCCAGGGATTGAACCCCGACCCCTGTGCCTGCTTGCAGACACTTCAATCTGCTGAGCTACTTGGCTGGCCTAATTTATTTATTTTTTTGGTACCAGGATTGAACTCAGGACCTTATGCTTGTCAGATAGGTGCTTATGCCACTGAGATATCTCTCTGGCCTTTTTAAATTTTAATTTAAAATTAAATTAATTTTAAATTAATTAATTACATTAAAAAGGGCTGAAGATGTAGCCCATTTGAAGGCCTTTGGCTTCAGTCTCCAGTTCTGAAAGGTGGGGACTTGACCCAGCCCAAGTAAGCACTCAGTAGATTGTGTTTCTTTTTTCTCTTTTTTGTGCATAACCAGGGATTGAACTCAGGCCCTTGCGCTTGCCAGGGAAGCACTTATTCCACTGAGCCACCTCCCTGGCCCCTAGCTTATGTTTCTTATTTTTGAATGTCTGCTTGTGCCAGAGGCTGGAGACCAATGGTTACTTAAGGCCTGATCTTTTAAGAGACTGTGATAAAGTAGAAGAGATTGGTCAAGTGGTCAGGGGATGGTGGGAACATCAGGAAGGGCTCTCCACCCCGCCCTAGGGAGTGAAAGAGCTGGAATATCAGTCCAGACAGAAGGAATAGCACATGCGGAGAACCTGAGGCAAAAAGAGTTCCAGGAGCTGCAAGAGGTTGGTGCTTTGGAACTGAGGTGTAGAGATGGAGGGGCTGAGCTGGGACATTGGAAAGGCCACGGAGTGGGTTAGAGTAGGAGTGTGCAATCATGAAGGGCCTTGTAGGTCGTGGTAGAGTTTGAATAAGAATATGATGGCTTTTATTTGTTACCCATCTACCATGAACCCAAACAGGGAACTCTAAATGTCCTGCAGTTATCCTCTAATTCATTAGTTTCAGATTTAAGGGAACATCAGAGTCACTTGCAGGATTTGTTAAAACACAAACTGCTGGGCCAGGGATACAGCTCAGTGCACAGTGCCTGCCTGGCAAGCTCAAGGTCCTGAGTTCAGTCCCCGGTAACAAGAAAACAAACAATCAGAATCCCCACAAACTGCTCGCCCCTGCCCCTGAGTATCATCTGCTTCAGCCATTGTGGGGCCAAGCCTGGAAATTTCTAGCAAGTTCTCCAGTGAGGTGGCTATTGCTGCTGCTGCTTGAAGGACCAAGAGCCATTGCTCTGTATTGTCTTCAACAGATGAAAGGAAAAAGGGCTCTGCTGGGGTAGAGTGGTGGCCTGAAACATCAGGACACCCACACATACACTCACCCCTGTGGTCCCTCCAGGTCTGGACGATTCCCTGCAGGACTATCCCTTTGAGGACTGGGAGCTGCCTGGCAAGTACTTGCTCCAGCTGTGCCCCCGAGGCCTGGAGGCTCTGACAGTATGGCCTGTAGGCCACCAGGAGCTCATTTTGGATGGGGTGGAACAGCTCCGGGCCCTGGTGAGTGAGCACTGGCCACACTGGCTGCAGTATCTGCCACCCTGGTAAGAGGCCCCATAGGGGGCTGGCTGCTGCCAGTGCGGTGACCTATCTCTTTTTGCCACAGAGCACTGGGCTACAAACAGAGAACCTGCAGAGCCTGGCCGAGGCACTACTCGGCGGGACCCAGGCCTTCCAGAGCTTGTTCCAAGCATGCCTGGGGGACTCTGCTGAGATCCCTGCGGAAGTCCTCAGTGCGGCTGTAAAGATGGTGCGCGAAGCTCGTGCTCTTCTCTTCTGGCTCAACAGGTACCTGGGCTGGGGTGACTGCTGAGGGCACCCGTCTCGTCTTGGCCTCCTCTAGGAGGAGGAGGAAAACACAGCTTGAGTGACTCTTGTTGAGATTTGGCAGAGCAGGTGAAAGAAGTCGCTCTGTCTGCAGAGGCACTGGGCCACCAGGGTTCCCATCCTCCTCCGGTTTGTGGCAGCTATTAGAGAGCTTCCATACCCCCTCACTGGCTGCCACTTGTCCTATAGGTCCCATTTCAAATGTCTTCTCCTCAGGGAAGCCTTCCCTATTATCCACTGTCAGAGCTCTCCATTTCATAACATTCATGACAGCTGAAATTAAATTATTAATGTAATTGTTCAACATCTGTCCCCCATGCCGGCCTTGCCCCTGGTGGGTGCTGAGACAGCAGTTGAGACTGGGCGTGGTGGTGAGTGCC